TGAAACCAGCCATAATGAAGACACCGCTGGACCGAGGCACAGGTAAGAGTCTGTATTTTAAATGTCAGCAGCTACAGTTTTTGTAGCTGCTTTTTTTTTTTTTCAGCTGGAACACCGCTTTAAGTATAAATACATTTAACAAATGGCAGACTGATTTATTTTTGTTGTGGGCTTAGTAACACTTTAAAGTTTGGAATGTCAGGTATCTATTTACTCGGCACAACCTCATCTTTTATATTTTATCAAAAATGTGGGACATTTATTGTGTTTGTTTGCCCTAAAATTCACTATAGTGTGTTTTTACTGAAATTTTGCATTCCCTAGAGATTTGCGGTAATATCCTGACCAGGGGCGGACTGACAACTCACGGGGCCCCCTGGCAATAAGGGATCATGGGGTCCCTGTGTCCTTGCCCAAACTCAAAAAAGCCTATGAAAAAGGTACCAGGGGCATCTCATGGGGCCCCCTACTGACCCAGGGCCCTGGGGCCGCGCCGGAGTTTCCAAATGGTCAGTCCGCCCCTGATCCTGACATAAAAAGTTGGATCTACCACTATTTTATTCTCTAGGGTGTCTGCTTTCAGAAAATATATCATGTTTGGGCCTGGAAAAATGTGTGCTAAAAAAAATTCAAAAACGGCTCTGGTAGCAAAAGGGTTAAAGAGGAAATAAATCCTCCTATCCTTTACAGCCAAGGAAGCTGCTATCTTAGCCTCAATTTGATTTGCATTTGTGACCCTTGTCATTCACTGCAGGCCTTGACCGTGACTGTTTAGGGAAACAGTTAAAATGGGTTTAGTTCTGCTTTAAAGGGTAACTCCACTTTTTTTGAGAAAAAAAACTTTCCCCTCTGGGTGATCTATGTACATTGCATGGATTTTAACAATGTTGTTGCAGATTCCTACCTTTTGCTATTCTGAAGAAATAGCTGTTTGTCAGCGTCCGTGTGTAAAGTGGATGTGATTGGGAGTGATTTCATAATTACCAGTCAGCTGCTGCACCTACAAAACTCTAATGAGGAAAGTGGCAGGGTCTGCATCCCTTTGGATTTGATTTCCCTTTGGGATTATCTCACCAAAAATGACATTTTTGTTGCAGGGGATGCCAAAATCTGACATGTATCTTAGTGCAGACCTCTGGGAAAATCTGTGAGCCAATCACACAAGCAGGAAATGACATTTCAGGGGTGCGTTCTTTATACCATCTGTGTACAGAACGCCTCCAGGTTGCCATATTACATTCTACCGAAAATTACAGAGCTGCAGATTGAAAAGGAAAGGTAATATTTAATAACATTCAATTACAATATGACTTGTGTCACAGCTGTATATGCTATATTATTATTTTATTTGCTATTTTTTCCCTCATGAAAGTGGAGTCACTCTTTAAGCTGACTGAAGCACAGAAACAGGGGTGAGGGGGTGGGGGGGCAAGGTTTCCCAGAGGAGTGCAGTGAGGGTTTTGGTAGCAGTAAGAGGACACAGTCCATTATTTTTGCCAGAACGTTTCTGTAGATACACCATTGTTAACAGCGGGGGTCTCAAACTACGGCCCTCCAGCTATTGAAGTACTACAAGTCCCATCATGCCTCTGCCTCTGGGAGTCTTGCCTGTGGCTGTCAGAGTCTTGCAAGGCCTCATGGGACTTGCAGTTCCTCAACACCTGGAGGGCCATAGTTTGGAGACCCCTGGTTAGCAGCAATAATAATGTAGTCAATAAATGTTTTAATTAATTAAAGTGTTACTAACCCCACAACAGTACAATCAGTCTGTATATGCAGTAAAGCATGCTTGTTATACTCACTGTGGAACCTAAGGGGTTAATCCTCTGCATTGAGTGAAAACGCTGTTTCATCCTGTCTTCTCTGATCCCCCTCCCCTTCTTCAAGTGTCCCCCCTCTTATCTCTTGATAAGACATATCATGTGGATTCACTCTGCACATGCTCAGTTTGGTGTGTATTGCTTGAGAGGTTTTTTTTTTTTCCTTTGGAAGGGTGATCAGCACAGGGCTAATCAAAAAGAGGGTCGGAGGTTATGCAGCTTCTTAGGACAATCAGGGAGAATGAAAAAAACTTCTCCTATAAGCCTTAACCAGTGCTCAGCTGGACACTGATAGAAGTCACAAGACTGCTCTAACTGCTGATGAGAAAAGGTATTTAGCAGTTTATATTTACTAAAATATTTGCGTTTCCATGTTGTGTGTACTGTGGGAGACCGGATATTGTGAATGCAGGGTCCGGGGTTTAGTAACACTTTAACTGCTTCAGCTCCTCCCCATAACAGAAATACTGCTACAGAGCGGCAGCTGTTTGCAAAATCACGTGTATATATATATACATGAGTTTGCATTTCCGGGTAGGGGGCGCGCACGCACCCCACATTCGCGGCCGCAGCTGTCAATCACTGAGTCCTAGCCGGTGATTACTCGCCGATGCCCAGTAATTGCCGAGCATCTCTGATGGTGGGGAGAACTGTTTGTAAACAAAACAGTTCTCCTCCCTGTCAGCTCCTGCCCACTGCTTTGTATGGCTCTGCACAGCACAGCCATGCAAAGCAGTGTGCTTACAGTGAAGCACAAACACAGAACATAGTAAAACAGCACACAGTTAACCCTTTGATCGCCCCACATGATAACACCTTCCTGTCCAGTGCCATTAGTACAGTGCCAGTGCTTTTTATTAGCACTGATCACTGTATTGGTGTCACTGGGAATGTCAGTGACTCCAAGTCAGTTCCCCCCAGTGTCAGAATGCCCCAGTCCCACTATAAGTCACTGATCGCCGCCATTACTAGCAAAAGTTTTTAAAAAAAAAAAGCCAAGTATATATATCGCCATTTGTAAACGCTATAACTTTCACATAAACCAATTCATTTACATGTATTGAGATTTTTTTTTTTAGCAAAGACATGGAGCAGAATACATTTTGGCCTAAATTTATGGTGAAATTTTATTTTTACATTTTTTTTACTGGATATATTTATTTAATAGCAAAAAGTCAAAAATACAGTTTTTATCTTAAAATTGTTGGTATTTTTTTTGTAGCACATAAAATCCACACAGGCGATCAAATACCACCAAAAGAAAGCTCAATTTGTGGGGAAAAAAATGACATACATTTCATCTGGGTGCAGCGTTGCATGACCACGCAATTGTCAGTTAAAGTAACGCAGCGCCGTAATGCAAAAAAAATGACCTGGTTGGGGGGGGGGGGGGGGGTAAATCCTCTGGAGGACTGTTATTAATGTTTTTGTTTTTTTTTTCCTGTAGCTCAGCCCTCTGTGTCTTTGGGTAGAAACAGCGATGGATCTCGGGAGTGTAGAGCCATTGGTGGATTCCCGGCTGCAGAGATCTCCTGGATCCCACATTCAGATAATATAAACACAAGTGACGTTAAAGATTCGGATGACACCTGGACTGTGACCAGCACATATAAGTCTGATGGAGGCAATGTGACGTGCCTTGTGTCTCATCCCACATTTGGGAATCTCTGGAGCCAGTCTGATGTATTATCAGGTAAAATTGGTGGGTAAATGTGCAGAATGTTAGATTTCCCCAACAGGAATAGAAATCCAGCCTTCTTCCTTCACATTCCATCACCAACGTGGTAAATGATTTGTCCTTTTCAATAAAAGGTGACATCGGTAACAGTGACGTCCTGAGGCAGGTGCAGGGGGTGCGCTCCGCATTGGGTGACACCTACAGCACAGGGTGACTCCGGACCCACTCCACAAAAAGGTAAGTTGTAAAGAAAGCCAACGATCCCCGCAGGATGGATCAGATCTGCGGATTGGGGATGATAATGGATTGGACTCTGATCCACTATGCTCAATCCGCAGATCCGAACCATCCTGCGGGGATCGTCGGCATGCAACCTATACGGGGTGACACCGGACCCGCTCCACAAAAAGGTAAGTTGTAAAGAAAGCCGACGATCCCCGCAGGATGGATGGGATCTGCGGATTGGGGAGCATAATGGATCGGAGTCTGAGCCATTATGCTCAATCTGCAGATCCGATCCATTCTGCGGGGATCATTGGAGGGGGTGTCACCAAGTGTTACTGCACCGGGTGACACCAACCTTAGGGACGCCCCTGATCGGTATGTTCCTAAAAACCCAAGAAATGAAGCTTTTCTCCTCCTTACCTGTGGACAGTGACTAAAGCTGCCACTCACTTGACCATAAGCCCGGGTTCACACTGATGCAGGGCGGAATTCACTCTGGTTTGTGTGCGAATTCCGCACCGCATCATAATCACACCCCCCGTTCATGTGAGCTGCTGTGGGTGTGCATGTTAACCAGTTGCCGCCCAGCCTATAGTCAAATGGCGGCCAGGCAAACCTCTCGTCCCTCCGGTAGGGCGTCATATGACGTCCTTCCCGGATTGCGCATTGCATGTGCCTGCAGGGCCGCTCTGTGGCGAGATCTGTCACCGGCCGTGTACCCTGTACGGCCCCATTGCCAGTACCATGTGACCTGCTGTGACCAATCACAGCAGGTCACATGAAAGTTGTATACAATGGATGGTTTCCTTTCATGCCATCCATTGTATACAAGTGTGTCTAGCTGTGAATGGTCACAGCGATCACATGCACAAGCTGGGTCAATCACAGCCCAGCTGTGTCATGTGATTAGCCGTGACCAAATCACAGCTAATCACAACAAAAAAAAAAAACCCTGAATTAATCGATTTCATTTAGTTAAATGCTTGCTTATAGCAAAGAAATTCTTTGCTATAAGCAATCAAATTGTGTAAAAAAAAAAATACTGATCACTTCCTCAAAAGTAGTACAATGTTACTATGGTAACATTATACAAATTTGGTCATAGTGTAATATGAAAAAAAAAATCTTAAAAAAAGAGAAAAAAAAAATAATAAAAAAGTAATAAAAAAAGTAATAAAAAAATTAAAAAAAAAATTATCAATTTTTTTTTTCATATTGTCAACAGTCAGTGTCTCTGATCACCATCACACCAGTTATATGCTGACACTGTACTGCACTGGTGACAGTATGTAAAAAAAAATTGTGAAAATAATTAGTTTAATTTCTTAATTTTTTCTGAAAAAAAAATTACAACTTCAAAAAACGCACCATGCCTCTTATGAAATACAAAACTGTCTACTTTGCAAAAAAGGGGTCATGCCTTTATGATACATCAGACTGTCTACTTTGGGGGATATCTGTACTGTTCTCACATTTGGGGGATATCTGTACTGTTCTGACATTTGGGGGATATCTGTACTGTACTGGGGGATATCTGTACATTTGGGGGATATCTGTACTGTTCTGACATTTGGGGGATATCTGTACTGTTCTGACTTTGATCATTTGACATTTGGGGGATATCTGTACTGTTCTGACATTTGGGGGATATCTGTACTGTTCTGACATTTGGGGATATCTGTACTGTTCTGACATTTGGGGGATATCTGTACTGTCCTGACATTTGGGGGATATCTGTACCGTTCTGACATCTGTACTGTTCTGACATTTGGGGGATATCTGTACTGTTCTGACATTTTTTGGCCTCAAGAAATTAGATTGGCTGTCAGTACTTCAGGATTTATCACTTTTCAGATACATCCCATAGTTTGTGAACTCTATAAATTTCCTACAGACTAAATAATAAATACTGATTTGGGTTATTTTCACCAAAGACATGTAGCAGAATACATCTTGGCCTAAATTTATGAAGAACAATTATTTATTTGCAAACTTTTATAACAGAAACAAAAAAAGTGTTTTTTTTTTAAATGTTCGGTCTTTTTTTGGTAATGTAACACAAAATAAAAACCCCGCCGGTGATTACCACCAAAAGAAAGCTCTAGTTGTGCAAACAAAATGATAAAATTTTAGTTTGGGTACAATGTTGTTTGACCGCGCAATTGTAATTCAAAGTGTGTGAGCGCTGAAACCTGAAAATTGGCCTGGGCAGGAAGGGGGTAAAAGTGCCCGGTATTGAAGAGGTTAACAACACCCTAAAAGCGGTACGCAAAACGCGGTGCGATGTGCAGAATCGGATCGCATGGGTGTGAATACCCATGCGATCCTATTCTAGTACGGACAAAAAAAAAGGGTCCTGCACCTTTTTGGTGCGGAAGTTGTGCGATTTGAGCCATTCAAAATGCATGGCTCAAATCGCACCGCAAAGAATTTGTATGTGATTTGCATAGGAATGCGGTGCGGTTCTTGTGCAAATCATATGCGCTATGCCACACTGCAGAACTGTGCACCCAGGCTAAAAGTCATAACCTGATAATGTCATACTAATTAAAAGTTAAAAGCAACATCCATTAACTGCTTTTCTGCCGCCCTAGAGCAGAAATACTGATACACGGCGGCAGGGCTGCGCAAATATATATAAGTGATTTTGCATTTCCGGGTAGGGGGCCCTACCCACACTGCCATTGCTGGCTTCAGCTGGTGATCATCGGATCCCGGCCAGTGAATCCCGGCCAACACCCGACGATTGCCGAGTATCACTGACAGGGGAGAGACCTGTTTAAAAACAACAGGTCTCTCTCCTGTCAGCAAGGACATGCTGCTGTGTATCAGCATTGCAATACAAAGCAGCATGTCTACATAG